AGCTATAATTTTCTACTTGAATGAAAAAATAGTGATAAAATAAATTTAAATAAATTAAATATATTATTTCTAATATAAATAACTAAAAAGATATGAGGTTCTTTTTTGTATTTTTTTTTTTTTTTTTTTTTTCTACTATCTAAAATTTATAGACTTCAAATAAATAATACATGTAGATATTACCATATGCACCTATACATTATACCTTTTATTGGTTTTGATGTTTACTTTATTGATACTTTTGATGTTTACTTTATTGATACTTTTGATGATTGATCTTTCTATTCAAACTTTATAAATTTTATTTCTAAATCTTTCATCTCATATATGATTTCATCAATTTTCATTTCTTTTTTCTTTGATGTAGTCATTGAAAGTTGAATCATAGATGTAAGATGGATAGTAGATATTTTATCTTAGATTTTTACAATGGTCTTTAAATATCCACCTTGTCTTTTTTCTTCTCTTTTTTTGCAAGTAATTCTACTATCTCTTCTACTTTATTCCAATTTATTATCAATCCTTCATTTTTTTTAAAAAACTTCAAGCAAAAAAATTAATTTTTCTTGCAACTTTCTATTAATTTCTTAAAAATAAAGTTTAATTTATTTGGATCCAATAATTTCCTTTTATTTTTATATAAATAAAAATAATATCTTTCAAACTCCTTCAATAATTTTAGGAGAATGATAAAGCAATCCAAATTATTACTAAAGCAATCTATCCATCATCACAATTTTTGCACATGAATAATACAAATCTTTTTTGTCATTAAGACCATAATTTATAATTGGAAAAATAGAATCATCATTTTGGATATAGTTTTCAATGGCTAATAATAACATCTTTTTATTATTCTTTTCTTACTTGTCTTATAAATATATTTATACTAAATTTATTTATTCATCTCATTGTAGTAGATATTCTTTTTCAGATTATGTATAGTGAACAAAAGACAAGAAATTATATATTCTATAATTTTTTTTCATTTTGTAATAGAAAGTAAAGGATATATGTTTGCACTGCCAAAGGAATATTTTGAAAGTATAGAAGAAATGAAACATAGTATTGATGAATTTACATACAATCAAAGCTAAGTCATATACAAATGGCGCTTTGAGAAAGATTGCATTGATTACAAGTATGACAGAGGAGAGGTTTATTGTAATCAAAATCCTCATATTCACAAACAAAATAGCATAAGTCATCTGATAGGATGTCTATTTGCATTACATGCTTATTATTTATATAATAGTATTCAATGGCATTTGTTTATTCAATATGTTCTTTATAACCATAGAGCTCATTCTTTTTTTTTTTAGGCCATGCATTTGCTTACAGTTTGCAATCAGCCAAAAAAAAAACTAACTTCATGATTGCTAGCTACATGCATCCTACCAAAAAATGTTGTTGTCTTATATGAGAGTGATACTAATAGCAAAGTCATTGCTAAAATTATTTGTAATGAGCAAAATAAATTATGTCACATTGCACTTAGTGGACAATCACCTATTATATGTCTTATGAAAAGTTTAGAAAGAGCTAATTACTATTTTATTTATTATTGTGATTAAGAGAATAAAATCATTTCTCTATTTTTTACATATTCCAATTCTATTTAACTTACAAAATGGTATTATTTTTTTATTGTGATGGATTGTACATATAAAATAAATAGATTTAGAATGACTATATTACATATTATAGGAATAATAAGTTTCAATATCTCATTTATCATTGATATTATTTTTTTCAAGAAGAAACAAAATCTTTCTTTTATTAGATATTAACTCAATTTTAAGAAGTATATAGAAAAATTTGACCTATTTGCATAGATATTGATAGGAATTTAGTATAAATAAATGCCATTGAATTAATATTTCTTACTTCAAATGTATTGCTCTGCATTTGGCATATACAAAAAAAAATATTAGTAAATTATAAAAAATAATTTTCAAATGAAGTAGAGTTAGGATAGTCTTCATTTCTTACAGATTGGACTACTATAATTACTGCATGTTCTGTAGAGCTTTTTGATTTCGAGTAGACTAATATTTGCAACAAATATATTCCTATTATTGATTATGCAACTATTGAGTATTTAAAGAATACTTCATACCACATAAGAAGAGATTAGTTAAAGCTTGGAGAAATAATCTACTTCATCTCAAAAGTGTGACTACATCACAAGTAGAGGGTCAACATTCAGTATTAAAAACTTACTTAAAAGTTTCTACCAAAGACTTCAAAGAAGTTCAAATTTTTCACTTTCACTTTTTTGAAAATATAACAAGAGAATTGAAGCCTCAGAAAAGATCAAAATAAATAATATTGGACATCAACACAATATTGGCTTTTTTACCAATGTTATGAAATGTATACTTTTATATACTCTCAATCTAGTTCTTGAGGAATATAAACAAATAAGAGAAAAAATTGATTAATATAATTTTTCTTCCATAAAAACAATGACAAGCACATTAAATCTACCATATAAACATCAAATAAGAATTTTATTGAAAAGAAGAGATGTTATATCAATTAGTAATTTTCATCATCAATATTACTTAATAAATACTTTTAACCAATTTATTATAATAGCACTATAGTGCCATTCTCTTCTAATAGTTTACATCTACTTTATGTTGCTATTAGTAGAACTTTTGATATTTTACTTCTTTACTAATAAGAGAATCTACATGGAAAATTACTTGAGCTTTCAACAATCATTATGCAATTGAAAAATATATGATTGAGTCACCCAAAAGAAAGATCATAAGGAACAAGAAATATAACTAAAAATAATATGCATACAAAAACATCAACATAATGATATGCATCACAATTTGAGTCTACAAAAGCAAGAACAAGGAGGCACATTTGTAGCAACTACAAATCAATGCAACATAATATCTGCACATGTCCTATAAGAACAACATTTCACTTATAATTATCTACAAATAATGTTCAAAGAGAGTAAAATTATCCAATAGACTCACACAACTATTTTGGAAAATTAATAGATATAATTATTTAAAAATTTATTGATGGTTATAGCTTGAAGTGATATTAATTATCAATTAATTTGATACTAATAAAATAAAAATGATGTATCTAATGTCATTTTTTATGTATTCTATATATCTCACTTCCAAAAACAAATAGCAAGCTTGTGCAATAATCCAAATGCCATTCATGAGATTCCCAATTTTGAAAACTTTGACTCCTCAAATACCATTACTATTCCCCCACTTTTCCTATATCAAAGCATTGTAAACAACTAGCCATCATATATACGAGTTAATTTTGATAGTAATTGGCAAGTCTCAAGCTTTCATCAACTTTGTACAAATACCAAGAAACTTCCAAAACTTCACTTTTACAATGATTATTGTATAAGCTTCTACAACATAGTTTCAAGATATTGCATTGACATCATGCAAAGAAAAAAAGAAGCTATGCAAAGAGAGGAAGGTGGCACAATAACTAAATAGAGAGAAGAAGTGTAGAACAATAATATGAATATGTTGTAGGTCCCTTCTTCTTTTAAACAAATAATTACAATTCTATAATTAATGACTATTGAAGCTAATAATTGTGGATGGTAATAATGAAGATTAGATTATCATGATTGTAGATGAATGTATTTTTTTTCATTAGTTGTGAATCTAGTAGTAGAAAAATGAATCTAAAGGTAATTTTTTTTATGATTGTGATGATGGATAGATTGCTTTAGTAAAAATTTAGGTCACTTTATCATTCCCCTAATTTTACTCTTTAAAGATCCTTCTTAGACCTTTCAATCTATTCAAAAAATGACTTCTTTGTAATCCAATTCCTATCTTCTTAAAAAAAAAAAAAAAAAAAAAAAAAAAAATCAATGCTTGAAAAAAATTATCAAATAAACCTCTAAAATGTCCTATAATAGATTTGATGTGATTTTTTATTTTTGGAGTACAAGCTAATTCAAATAATTGAAACATCTTCTTTTCAAAAACATGCTTAAATTCCATTTCTTTAACATCACACCTTAAATATTTTGAAATATCCTACTTTTTAAATTAATCCATATTGTCCACAACTACCTATAAAATTTTGTTTGCCATATCCTCTTTGTGATTTTTAATCTTTTGTTGTTGCATAAATAAAGCAAAGGCCTCAAACATGCTTTCAAAATTAGGATCAAAATATAGACCTTGTCCTTCACTTGTATCTCCACTTCTAGTTCCACTTCCAACTCTACTTAAAACTCCAATTGAAGCACCACCCATATCTCTTCCTTTGCAATATAAGCATTGTAATGTGATCTTGTCTTTGCAAAGATGTTCACTCAAGGTTGGTCCTGTAGATCAATACATGGTGGAGGTGAAGCACCTTATCAAGTACAGCAATATCATGGTGTCTACAGTTGCTACCATGAAGGGCCCACCAGGGTTTAAGGGCAAGCAGAAGAAGGAGAAGAAAATACTAGACCTTAGTCATTTGTCCGTGGAAGATAAGCCAACTGCCATCTTTCTTTTGACAATCGTCAAGCACAATGTCATGGTCGATGGAATAGCCGGATTCATGGTGAAGCATTTTCTATTGCTTGTGAGAAGAACCATGTCAAAGTAACTACGTAGAGTGTTCTCTCCACTCGGTTCGTTTGAATTGAATTCTACTTTTCCACAAGAAGTTGTGATGTCCCAACGGTATCTGCATGAAATCATGTTGCCCCTCTTAAGAAGACTTAGCAAAATTCCCACCTTTAGTATGTGTTAGATTGAATTGAAGGGGGTTATCGACGAATTTCAATGCATTCTGATGTAGACTTGATTCAGTGAAAGGTGTTACTGGATGCACCTTTCTTTACTAACTAGATTATATCCCTGTAAGAATCCTGTCATTGATCTATTCTGTCAGCTCTGAGTTTGTGATAATGAGTTAGCATATTGTTTTCTGGTGTTTCTTAACTGCAATAAAAGGTATCATGCGATCCTTTCAGCTTATACAAATTTGCAAATTTAGATTTTGGTCTGGATTGGTAACCTTTGGAACATGGACAGTTCCTGTTACATGCACTCTCTTTGTAAACGTTACAGGATTTATTTGTCGTGTTTTAAGATGTATATTGAGATGTAACCCAGGACCTGCTATTGCCCGAGTTTCAACACTTTTATTTACTCTCACTGGGTGCAAATGTACTCGTCTTCCTGCAAAGTTTCTCAGGGACTTGCAGCCCCTCAGGAATTTTAGACTTCACATTCTCCCAACTCTCCGCACGTAAACGCCTTGAGATGATTGCCTATCGCTCGACCGTTTGGAGACAACATTACAATCCGGAGGCCGCTCATACAGGGCTTCCCCTTGGTTGGGGCAGCTAAGGTCTCTTCAACGGTTGTTCTGAATCAGTCGAACAACCGTTCACATTAGCGTCTATGGTTTTTGCCTTCGCCCCAAATGTCCAAGTCCCATCGTAGTAATTCGGAAAGGAGGTATAGTTTTTGTACCTTTCTGGACCTTCCACAGCCAGAGTTACCGCAATGAGTTTTGCGGTGCCTACACATTTCTCATCGGCTCGTGCATTCCTCACTTCTTCGTAGGTCCTGTGAATGATGTACTCCTTCCCAACAAGGGGTACCACCCTCTCAAATGCTGTTTTCATTCACCGTGTCCGTTCAATGTCGTTTGCATGTTCTTGTTCGCAGATCTCCACCACCTCTACAGCAAATCTCAAGGAATAAAATTGACGGAATGAAGAGAAAATGAGTCTCAACGCTACGGTTGCGAGGAAGATATTGAGCTTTAACAGTGTCGAGTCTCCAATGCAAGATATAAAAAATTGTTCCAAACAGTCCGAGAGGTTGATACGAGGAAACGTAGGATTATGAACTAAATTTGCATACCGCGCACGGTGGTCTTGGGACCGTGGACGTACGTCTGTAGATCGGGGGAGTAGAATTTGGTTCCTGGCAGATTGTTGCCGCACCGATTACCTGATACTCTACACTATTGTAGCCTTATCTTAAGCTCTTCAAACGTGAGGTATCCATTCCTGTTCTTCCACTCTGTATTCTTCTTTCTGGGGAAGTTGAATCTTAAATGCCAGCATTTTGGGCAACATGTTACGGAGGAGGTGAAAGAAAGCTGACTTGTACCCATGAGTGAAAAATTCGACACTAGGATTAACAGTGTACTTCAGTCATTCGATTTCTACAAAAGCTATACAATGATTTTGTCAGCAGCTGAGAGATTACTTGCAAGGGCAAAAGTCTCGAAGTGTTTGTGTCAACCGACTGTCGTAAATATATTGAAGATAAGAAAAATGAGGAAGATGCGGAGGCAATGAAGGCATGTGAGAGGCGAATGGATACGAAATTTTACAATCAACAGGTTCTTTCCCTGATTTCTGGAGTCCGACGCCGTGATTCCAAGCGGTTTGATCATCAAAGAGTTCAAAACATCTAAACCCTATTCTTCCTCCCGTCCCACAGCGTGCATGTGGCAACTAGCGCATAGAAGCACAGATTTGTATTCTTTACTTGGATACAGAACAATCATTGGCAGCTTTGCTGTCCTGCTAAACTTGAAGAAGAACGTAGGAGCGTGAATTTCAAAGCGGGATGTTAAGATTACAATGAACGTAGCCAGGGCTTTCTTCCTCCTCTCGGTGGTGTATGTAATGTTGTTTCTTGTGTGGTTCTTCTGCATAATTGGTCCCTCAGTCTTCGATTGGAAATGCCAGGCTCCCTCCCATCGCACCATTAATCATTAATCATTTGCAGTTCACACTGCGACATTGTCCTTTCAATTATTGGCCCTCCCATATCGGGTCACACTCAGAATTGCAGGATGTTGGAACTAGAGGTGCAACTGCCGCGAGAAAGAAAGTTGATAGAGTTGGACAAGGCATCACCAACTTTCTACGAGGTCAAGGAGAGACTAGACAACTGTGGCATTGCAAAGAATTGGTGTGTGGAGATCTTGCGCGGAGGCGAATACGTCTCCCCAGATGATGATACCCAGCTCAAAAACTGCAAGAAGCTGACGGTGCGCGCTGCTCCTATTTCGGAGAAGACGATGCTTGGCCCCGGGACCTCCTCTACCATTGGAGCAGGTTCGTTGCGGTTGAAGAGTATCCGACTTATTATTCAGTTTCTAGAGGATTTTTCATCTCCTAATCTAATGCTTTTAGTCTTCATTTCCTTGTGAAAATTGCAAATTTCTCCCGATTATCAACTATGTGTCACCCCTGTTTTCTCGACAGGTAACCCAGAGGTTCAAATCCAACAAAGAGAGAAACCAGACCTGCAAGAAATGATTGAGAACGTAATCTGCTTTATAGGCCGCATTTACATCTGCGACCAGAAGTGCTCGGGTTCCAATGCCACATCAATGCAATATTGCCGAGGGACTGTAGGACTAATAGGCTCCTCCGGGGAAACCATCGGTTGCTGGCACACCATAGAAGACGCAGCAAACAAGAGATCACTGCAAAAGATGTTCATCGAATATCCAAACTACCCTAAACCTCTTCTCTTCGAAGCTCAAATCAAAGATAACCTCGTCAGCTCAGATCTCGACCTCTTCGTGGCCGAGCCATGTGAGCCATTACCAGACGAGACCGCTCACCTCTGTTCTGCTCTTGATGTTTCCCTTGCCGACAATGTCCACTGCTTCGGATTCCCCGAAATTGTTGATCGGGAGCTTGTGGAGGGCTACAGCAGGAAGAAGAGAGAGCAAGGCCAACGATGCAGCAAGAATGAGCTCCATAGAAAGCTGAGATTACCGACAGTCTTTAGCGGGCGCGTTTGCTTTAACGGATGGAAACAAGCAGTCGCGGACTATCTTTGTTTTCCCAACAGCTCTGGTGGCATCGTAGTTGACGATTATGGGTGTCTCAAGGGTGTCCACGTAGCAGCATTCAGAATTGGACGAAACCTCAATTACCAGAATGCGAGGGTTGTGAATGGTCGTCACCAGCCTGCAACTCGAAGCAAAGCGCAACGTAGCAACATCAACCGCCAATCCAGCTTGCAAAAGCTGCACGCAAAGCTCAATGATTTCCGTCTCGAGACTGCCCAGTGTCTGAACTCGAGCAAGACTGAGGTCGCTGCATTCGTGCCGGTGCATATCATAGAGGAGCCCTTGCAATTATCGCGGATGCAATTGATAAGGTGGAAACAGCCTCATAGTCGGAAACCGGCTGTTTGTGAGCAATTCGCCAGACCCTGCCTCATCAGACCAGCGCGGACGACTCACCCAATCGAGTTCCCGGAGGGCAATCACACACAAAACTCCGCTCCTCCAAGAAAGAAAATCAAGACGCAACAAGCCTCCACCCGAAACCCTTTCATCTGGTTCTAAAATCCTTGGCCGCGGGTTTAGGTGGTAGTAAACGAACCTCACTTTGTAAATTACAACGAGCGTGTCATATGAAAAGTTTGCTTCTTAGTAAGTTCTTCGAATATCACACATCTAACGTTCTCTGTGCCAAAACTGTAACCATCGAAACATGAAAGATACGAACAACAAGTAAAGGTTCAATCATTGGATGCACCGGGGTTCCAAATCTGCCAGCCAGCGGAGTGGATCCAAGGACGCATGGTTGGACAAATTTATGGATTGCTGTAGTACTTGCAGACTACAGATGGCTCGGGACTCCAGTCTGTCAAGCGCACGATGCATGATCTACAGTTTACCCTTCAATTCACACCAAAAAGAGCGACCAGACACAGAAATGGCAAGGCAACCATGGTTCAGAAAAATATGCAGTAAGAGTCGCTATTGTCAGGAACTCAAGCTTACGAAGTGGTCGCTCCCAATACAAAGGATTCCATAAAACGGATCAACAATGAGTGATCCAACAATTGAATCGACTACCTCTGAAAAAATGATACTTCCTTAAGTCTATTAGAAAGTCACGCATCACTTTTATACGAATCAAAAATTGCTGCTTTATCCGGCTTTAGATAACACGATCGATTTCTCTTTAAGTCAGTGTTATTGCTGTTTCTAAGGTCCTCATATACACATTAAACTGTTCCGAAAGAATACGCGATTTCGACATGCAGCAATAAGGATCTTCATCGACAGTCAAACGATTACGCCAGTTCACGAGCGTTGGGATCAATTGATCGGCGAATGTATCTCATGACATCGGTCCGCCGAATCCCTCCCATGTGTAAAATTGTGACCACATTCCTCAATCTGTTGCACACACATGAGTCGTAGCCTGCGCAACACAATTCGTCAGTACATTAGCAAACTTCACCCGATCTTCGGCTTAAGGGACCTGAGAGTAGTGCCTACGCTTCCACAAAGATTTAAAACATGGTGTGTCGTTGCGTGAGACTCGTATGAAAGTGACAATTCTAACGAGGAACCAGAAAAAGCTGAAGGGTGCACCTCTTTGGCGGTTAAAATGTGCCTCCAACCTTCGTTGCCGTGTGTCGGTTAGATCCACACTTACTTGTATGCTGACCTGAACACAGTAGTGAAGGAATATCGCACGAGCCTCGAAAGTTAGGTATTAGACAGAAAAATAAAATAAAAAAGCATCGCTCATGGTCTGAGGAGGTGCTCAGCGTGGAAGGATAGGTTTACCTGATAATTATATGCATATCCGCTCTCACTCTCGGAATACGTTGGCATATTCGGCGCTTCTCTGCAGTCGAACATCTGCAACATCACAGGATACAATCAAGTAATGTTTTTTTCTTTTTTCTTTATATCTGTTTGTTTTATCTTTCTTGTGCATCAACCGCGACTCAAACTGCTGAGAGTCTGGGCATTAGACTGGCTTTAACTATTACGCATCGATCATGGCGTTTGAATTCTATCAGAAACGCAAAAGTCGAATTGAGACAAGCATGACAATCCGTGGCACTTCACCTCGGCGAGCGACGTCATGGTTGATCCTCGGACAGATCTTGGGCACCAATCACCAAACTCGACTCTTACTAGATTCTAAATCCTCTTCACTGGAAATGCGATGTAGACCCTCTGAACAAAGAGAAGCTCAAAATTCTATGCACGATTGTCCCTCTCCCTTCAATACGCTTTCACGCAACCAAAGGAGTGCGGATTCGAAAGCTCGATCGACCCAGATTTTCAAAACAGTCACTGCAGAGAGGAAAACAGCAACAGTTCTAAGATAGAAGACATCAAAGATCGACTGCAAAGAGAAACAAACAACGACACTGGCAAACCAAATATAAACATAACCACTACCTGCATAACAAAAGTTAAAGAATTAAGCTGAAGCCACATTCAAGAATCTAAGAATCTCAGTATGATGGCAGAGCGGGCCAACCGAAAAATCTGACAAGTTGTGCAACCATATCATGAACTACAAGCGATGTCCAACACTGGCCGCACTCGCTGCAACAACCACCGCTTAAATGTAGCTCACGACTGACGTTTCCAAGACCCAAATGCGGCCCTCAGAATTGGGCATGCACCGATCAGCAGATTTCGGGCACTGCCAACTGAACAGAAATCCAAGGTTGCCGGTGCTTGGGCAATGTGGTTTCCAGCGCCGGAGTTTGGGAGCGCAATCAAAAGCAGAGCCAGACAAGCTACGCAGGCACTTCGACGATGCGTGGAGATTGAACAGGGGGAGGGGGGCGGATACGAGCTTTTTAAAGGACTCTAATGCACGAATGATCTTCCAAAAATAGGTGAGACCTTGATGAAGACTGGTCAAGCTGGGCGGCATGTCCGGTAACTAAGTAAGTGGGACCTGGACCACATTTGGCAAAGATCCAACTCATGCTCCCAAACCTGGCAAGTTACGGCGTGTCATTTCTTAAAACACAAAATCGTAACACACAGGGAAAGGCTGTCGACTCATCACGGACTGCGTGTCATGTGGGAGCGGCACCAGCTCTACGCCGCTGTACAGTACAGACTACACAACATCGCCTCCGCTCCGCCGGAGACAGCTGCAACTTCATTGACATTCATGTGATTGATGCTCAATCATAACCAGCACCTTTCGTGCCTGCTAAACCCCTCTCCATCTCTCTCCCCCCATCTGCATTGCACTTCACTAGCCGAGCCAAATCATGACCGTAATCGTGCGTCAGGTTGGCATTACCGCGTAAAGCCAGATAATTCTGCACACCCGGAGCTTTTCTTATGAGGCTGCCAAATACAGGTGCCGTAGAAAACTGCAAGTCAAGGCTTTGCTAGTGGGGAAAAAAGTAAAACACACGACCATTATTATGAGCGGATGATTGGATGCTGTTTTTGCCCACTGCTGTTGTGCTGCGTCTAGTGAAGTCCAAACCCAATTGTCGTCGTCTGACATTCAGGGTGTTCACACACAGATGCACTGGCAGGGCGTGACCCAGCCTGGCAGTTCCGATTGCCGATGCAACTCACATGTGCGAGAGGAGGGGAGTAAACCATGATCGCTCGCTCAACCTCTGGCCTCCGTAAAATAGGTTCCGCAGGTTCGAAATCCTCTGTTTCTCGGCTGCCTTAATTTCCAAGGCAACCTTGACACGATCTCCCCTACCACCAGCACCCACGGGCGGAGCTCCCAATAAGACGGTTGCTTGCTTCGTCGACTACACACAAACATTGTTCCCCCACCTCCCCTCTTTAAAAAGTATTCTCCTCTTAAATGCCGTGAATAAAAACGTCGTAGAAGTTCAGCTTTTACGCACAATGCAGGGGAGAAGCGATTAAAAAATACACAGAAGCAGAGAAAAGTAAAACGCCGTGACTGTGGGTTGCGGAAGTCTAAGCCTCAGGCTGGAACACATCGACAACTGTGCAAACTGATCCCACTCGCAAATGCACGAAGCTTGCTCACTCCTCATGTCAAAGTGGATGATTCCACATGCTCTACACACGCATTTCCCCCCCATTTTCTTTTCCTTTCTTGTCTTTCCTCTTTAAAGAAAGGAAAAAAAAAAAAAAAAAAAAAAAAAAAATCCTTCTAGTGAATTGTGGTGATCGAATTTCTTTTCGTCAAGAAGAAGCTACGGACCTCCTTCAGATGGAAGATTAACCCTAAAAGACCCGCCTTTGGTATTAACGTTATTATGTAAAGTATCACGAACACTGGTGTTCATTCATGAAAACGGAGGATTTTTTATTTTTTATTTCTCTCTCTCTCTCTCTCTCTCTCTCTCTATTTTTTTCTGTTTTCCCTTTCTGTATTTGTTTCTTTTTTCAATTGTGATGCATTACGTCAATTCAACAGTCGAAACACTTTATCAACCTAATTAAAGCTTCGATTGTAATGCCATTCCATGATTATTTTTTTTAATTTTTTTGAAAGGAATAGAAAAAACATAATATCAGATATCACGCCCTTATATTGGTTGTCGTTGCAATTCGATTGTTGTAACGTAAGATACAAACAACCTTTTCATTATTGGTTACTTAAATAGAGATAGTAGGTAATAACTTACAATTCCTATCAATGTTGGCAGATCTAACAATTGTTACACCATCACTAAAATTAAAATAATAATAATAATAATAAATAAATAAATAAAAACTGCTTCGACTAGAGAAAGACCACAGCAGAATCATTCAGAGAATGTTATGTTTAGAAATTTCTGCCCAACATCAATTCTGTTTTCTAAAGACGAAACTTGGCACCTGCTATGAATTCAAGTATCATTCCTCCCACGTGTGTCAAAGCAAGTTGAGTTTGGAAGGAGGCTTAGGCATGGGCATGCACCCAAGTTTCCAGTCATAAAGACCAATGAATGCACTTTCAGAGCTTCCAAACCAGAGGAAACGCATTCATCTCATTCACCCATTCATTCATTTTACTCAAGGACCCTTCACAAAACTGGCAGACAGATAGGGCTGGAATGAAGGTCCTCCACCAGAAAACTTCTGGAGTGACTGATTCTGCCATAACGTCGGAATACTTTTAACTGTCAACTTAAGGTTTTTCAGCTATCTCGGGGGATTTTTTATTCGAAAAAATATATTTTTTAGTGGAAAAATAAGATTTTGATGTGCTCCAAGAAGGGGGGGGAACAAACAAACAAACAAAACAAAACAAAAAAATGATTTTCTGCCAAGGTTTAATTGAAAAAAAATTAACAAAGCAGTTTTTACATTTGACCCTTGAACCAACAAAAACACATAGACTTGGCCAAAACCATCCATAAAAACACATAAAACCACCACCTCCATCATACTAAACCATCAACTTCATCCTTGTAAAATTTGCCAAACATTGGTGGGCTTGGAATGGATTTAAAATCTTTTCTACAGGAAGAATGGTTGCTTTTGGGTTTGTGCAAGGGTGGTTTAGGGTAAGCTCTACTGGTTGGTTCAAGGGTGTGACACAGTTTCAATGTATTTTGATGTTACCTCTCCACCCAGATTCCTTTCCTGGTGAAGAAGCACTCCCAAGAGGGTCAGTTAGGCCACTGTTTTTTATTTTTATTTTTAATCCCCATGCCAAGGAGGAACAATGGCATATAGTCTCTTCCCTGTGTGACTCAGAATGTGATCTGTTTGTCTACCTCTTCCTCTCCGTTTTTTTTTTTTTTTTTTTTTTTTTTTTTTTCCTTCTCCTTGTGGACAGAGTATTTTTGCTTTGTCTTCTACTTCTTCTACTTCAATTTCATATGCTTTCTTTTGAGGTGGTCCTGGCTATAAGATATTCCAGTCACCTTCACCCACATGTTCCACACACTCCCAGGCTGCCTTGAGCAGATTCTTGAGGTTGGCTGTTCCCACGTGCTGAGCACCCGTTCCCCTTTTGGCAGCCTGGAATTGGGAAACAGTGATCATGGCCTCTCATATTCCAACTGGAACCAACCAGACTGCATTAGAGAAGGTTCCTTCCTTCTCCCTTCCTTTTTGAGCCTCTCTCTCTTTCTTTGTCTTGTCTTTCCTCTCTTTATTTCTCATTTATTTTCAGCAACTTCAGATGTGGGCACTGAAGTCTGGGTTGAGGGGGTGTAAGATCCAATTGCTTCGATGATGGTGAGATGACGTCCCAGTGTAGACTTCTTGCCCTTGCTCCATTCTGAAATAGCCCACAAATTCAAGGATTTTTGTAATTTTGGTTTTATTTTATATTATTTTTATAACATGTTTGTGAAGCTGGACTTACCAAGGAGCAATCATGAAGTATAGTTACCTTTTGTGCAGTATTATTCAAGTTTCTCATTTATTTCATTATCGTATTAAAATTTAAGACTATTTACATTCTTTAATAAGAAATTTTCGTGTTTGTATTACTTTGTTTAATCTGGGGGTCAAGGGAAGTGGAGGGAACATATATTTCAGTAGACAAAGACTTCTAATTTTCAATTTATTTATTTATTTATTTGTAGGTTTAAAATTTGAAATCTTGAATGGTAGGAATGTTGAGATGGTGGATTCAAGTAGATGCTTGGGTTCTACGCAACCTCCAAGACCCTTGTCACTGCACCATCAACAGTGATTTGTATGTTCAATCAACCAGTGTATGCTTTAAATCTGCAATATGCCATGTTTCCTTGGATATATATTTTTTTTCCAGAAAACTCAAAACTCTTATCGACTTGTGGCACAATTTCAAACATTTTCTCATTCGTATACACATACACACCACATCCTTGAAGAGCAAAGTTGAGATTTCCACAATGTGTGGAATTGAGGTTTGGATTGTGTGTTCCCCATTGTTATCCATCAACTTCTGGACAAGAATCTTGAGATGCCCCAAGCATCACCCCAAAGTGGAAGCTTTAGGGTTTTTGTCACCGTGCCCAACAACACCAGACACAGCACTTTTAGGGTTGGGAATGGATGAGGTTGGGGCAGACAGGTCCTTTCACTTTGTTAGGCCACTGTAAGGGGGGAGCCCACATTGTGAGGCTTTCATCAACAGAGTGATAGGAAAAGTAGTTCTGCTTAAGTGGCATGCAGCAGTAGGTGAGCACCCCTTCCACTTGTTCCAACTTGGCATGAGGAGCTTTGTTTGTAGCCCATACCACAACCATTGCCTTTTTGTCTTACTTTCTGGGCATATCATTTTCTTGCTTCATATGTGTCAAAGATGACAATTCCAATATCCACACTTGGGTGTAGGATAATCTCAAAAATAGGGCCTCCTAGAAAAACCATGCCCATTATCCTCAATTCCATGAGAGATGACAGCTTTTTCCAGTTTCTTTTTAAAACAACCAAGTTGGTTCTGAATTTAAGTTTATTCAAACAGCTGCCAGTGTTACATGAAATTTCATCCACCTTCATCTGTGTACTGTTAGAAAATACAGATGATGGTGGGAAAAATTCTTTCAGGCTATTTGAAAAAAATATACATGAATTTAAAATTAACTAAAAATATCATTCTTGTTATTCTTGTTATTATTATTTTTCCACTAGACAATAAAATGATTTGTCACTTACTATTCAAAGAAACAATCAAATCATGTAAGCCAATACAATCAATTCATAACAAGTGTTGTTATAGAAATGATTGTATCATTTTATAATATTTTATTTTTATTCCTGAAAAAAGCCGTTTTTCAGTTCTTTAGTGACTTGTTTATCAACTATACAACTGTTATCAAGACATATTATTATCAATATTGCACTGTTATTGACTTTGTCTGATATTCAACCATTGGGCAACATTTGTATCTACATATTCGTCACAATTGTTACAATCACCAACCATGTCAACTTCATTCTCAGTTTAAACACAGAAAAGTACAGTTTCCAAAAAAATTAAAAAAAAATTAAAAAAAAAATCTTGCCACTGCTCACCCAATTTTCAACTTCAAATATCTAGTGAACTTTAGGCTTTTTCTTGAGTTCACATCCATTTAAGAGTAGCATTTCCGTTTCTGCTGCCAAGCACAATTTTGAAGACTATCGTGTTAAACAGATTGTATCGTGCACCGTATGAAATAATGATATCATGGTCCGCAGGAATTGAATCATACCTTGTTGGAGAGTTCAGAAGAAGGTGGGACATGGATTGTACAATGTGAGGAGAGTTAGCCGTTTGGGAGGTGGTTGCGGATGGAAATGTACGAGTAGAGCTCAGAGAGGAGGCAGGTGCTGAGCTTGCAATTCATTTCGGTGGTGTACACTCTGAAGGTTAGATTCCAATTGATTTCCTTGGATGACTTGCAATGATCCAGTGAATGCCGACCTGACTTCGTTACGTTTGTTGTGTTTTGTAGAAATGTTACGTGGTTGTGCGTGCATTCGGAACGAGGATTTTGCACACTTGCTACTGCGACAAGTTTCTGTATGCTTGAAGGTTTTGGATTGCCATGTCAATTTGAGGGTTTGGCAGCTTGTCGATAGGGTAAGCTTTGGAGAGTAACGGCGGAGGAGATCCATTCTAGTGGAGGTAATGCACTGCATGACTAGTCACTGCATGTCGCTTAGCATGCTCCTGAATGTTGCATTTGCAAGGTTCGTCCTTTTCTCTCGGTTGTGTAGTTAGCGATGTAGGATGCGAGGTAGGGCACTTATAATATCTGTCATGTATCACCGCAGATAGTTGTTCAGGGAAGAGGCTAACAGGTGGTGAATTAAGAATCGAGTTTTTTCGTAAGTCTAGTGGCTTTGTTATTACAGGGTCCTTTTCAATGGTTTCTACAAGGGTGCACATGGAACATGCACTTTATGCTGTCCTGACCGTCGTGTTGTACAGGGGCATTCTTTATGTTAAGTGAATGATGGATACGCGAGATTTCATATCCATGCTGGTGCAACAAGGGGCTTAGATCATTTCATCAGCCTCAGATGGCATTTAAGGTTATTCATGCATGTATCAAACTGGTTTGCCTACGAAGAAACGAAGGTAGGTTCGAAAAGGTTGATACCAAAGCGTTTCTTTCCAGCACGACTTTGTTATCGTGGAGTCAATGTGCAATTCAAACTTGGTGCTTGTTGATTGTTGGTAAAGGTGAAAGAAAGGGTTCCGCCACAACAGGGTTCGTGAAGAGACGTGAAGGATTTGGCACTGTCGAGGACTTCGTTGACGTTGCTGGCGCCGTTGTGAATGCTCCTGAGAAGCCAACAGTCTGCGTTGTGTCTGTGGTGAGCTTACATGAGGTTTAGCATTTGAACTTCATTGCGTGGGTGAATGCCACTTTCCTTCAACGTTAACAACGCATGCGGATTATTGAATCAGGGCTCAACTTTAATCAGAGGTCTTGTTATCAATGTTTTAGGCAACATTGTTATGTTTCACATCAAATTTTAAGACCAGCGCTCAACTTGTTCGTTGCGTTTGTCAACTGGCTCTTGGGGCTTACCGCATTGAAGATTACGTTGAGAGTTCATAATGGGTAGAAGCGAAGTCCGAAATCGAGGGAACTATTGAGTTGGTTTGATATGGCTTCAAGCGTCACTTTTCGCCTTGATGGCTTGGTTGAACCCTTAGATCATGTTAAATTCATTTTTTCAAAGTTTGATATAAAGCTTTGAAACTTTAACAATGTTTCCTAAAACATTGTTCATAGGGAAATTATTTGAACATTTTTTATTGGGAACAATGTTCCCTGTAAAGCTTTAAACTTTGAAGCTGATTTGAATAGCTCAAATAATGAAAATTTCACCATGGAATCACTCACAACAATGAAGTCATGGTTCTGAACTCCTATTGTTAGTTTTTTCATGTGAAGTGATCTTTAATTTAGTGATGCACTGTCAGCTTCAAGCCAGCAAGATGCCAATGAATAGAGACTGCAGGAATTGACACTAACACTTACCGACTTGTCTGTTGCATATGAGTGAGCTGCAAAAGCTTTTTCGCTGCAGAGGGAACAGTGCCATTCTTTGGAGAAAAATTTACCAAGCCATGCCTCGAAGTACTCAAATTCACAGATTTTGAAAAAAATATCATGAACAGTGAACACAAAAAAATATGTAACTTAAATGCATAAAATATAAGAACATGAGAATTCGGAGCAACTAGGAACTTAAAAGATGAAGGCATGAACATAGTATATAATTAATGAAGGAAAGACAGTATTGGAATCATAACAGCTATTAAAAAAGAAGAAGAAAATAAATATAAATAGGCTAATCATGATCTTCTCGAAACACAGGTTGTATTACATAGTACGAGGCACCGTACCATGCAAATGCCTTCAACTGCTTTGAATCATTTGATCTGGCATCCAGTAATTCCTGACTAAACCTCTGGAGCAGTGTGCTGGGAAGAGTGCCTTGAAACTGTGAACTACTTTCCATCTTGGCATATTATGACGATATAACATGTAATCAAACTGCTAGCTCTGCTCATAGTAGAGCGTTTGTCGGGCATGACGAGCAGAAGGAGGAGGAGGAGGAATGCAGCACAATGTTTTAATCATCCAAGTGAGCAGTCGGCAACTAATCATGTATCCCGCTGGAGGTGTGACTCAGCTGCAAATCACGCTAGTATTCTGAGAAACCGATCGCGCCAAACCATTCGGTTTTAATCTATAGAACTGATTTATTTTGTAGGAAAATGTTGTTGTTGCAGAGAGGGAGTGGATGTGCTAGATTACACAAATACTCAACCTGGACATGGGCACACCTGATCGTGTCTAAGAGAGAGAGCGAGCGAGAGAGGCTGGCATGCATGCTCCCCTTCGAATATTCGCTTCAGCAGCGGCCTCCCTTCCAAGGCTGCACTTTCCTCTATGCGCGACTCCTCACATTTTCGAAACCAAGATTTGAACGTGTTCTCACCTTGGTTTGAAGGGATTCTGTGGGGAATTCAAGACCGTGGTGGTAGCTAGATGAACAAGGTTGTGTAGGTGCAAGTTTTAGGGTTCGGGTTTTAGGGTTGCAAGTTTCACTGGATGCGAGGTCTGAAAGTTTTTGTGGGTGAATGTTGGGAGTGGTTCAATCAAATGGATTTAAACAAATGTGTACTTCATTTCACTTTCAATACTGAAAATTTATAAAATAAAAGATGAAAATTGTTGGAGGAAATTGAAAAAAAAAATGTTCTGAAGTAATATGAATTTTTATTTATTATGAATATTGCAAGTGTAAATGAAGTTGTGTTTCCTGAAATGAATATGATGAAAATTGTTTTAACACTTACAAGCCCATAAAATTTGTTAGACTAATTTTTAATCAAATTTAGTGCATAGAATAATAATGGTAATAATATGTTATGTTTAAAAACAAAGAAAAAGAATTATTCCAATAATTCATTATAAGATTGGAAAATAAATAAATATTTTGATTGCTTCAAAATTTTTAGAAGTAGGATTGAAATGATTTTACATTTACACTTACATAGTTGGAAGAAAAATATTTTTTGAAGCTTTTTATATAGACTTGTTATTTAAGTTTTTCATGAAGCTTCTCAAAAGTTTATGTAAATTTTTAAATAATATTAAAAAATCTTAAAAATTAATAGATGATTTCAAAAGAAGTTAAAATATTCAAAAAAATATTTAATAAAGCATATATAATTATATGTACAACTTCTTCAAATATATACAAATCTATCATTTTTTCTCTCTCCATATTTATATATACTAGTTGCGATCCATATTATTGGCACATATCCAAAGGACATCTTTTTCTAAAAATGTCTAATACATGCTCTAGTAGATCTTTTTTGGAAAAAGATGTCATTTGTATTGAGAATGTTTAAAAAGACACAAGAGTAATCGTAAGTAATACACATACACACAAGAGTAGTAGTAAGTCATACACACAAGAGGGTTTCTAAGGAGAGAGATTTTTACACATCAAATTCTATTGATCTGGGTGTGTCTCGTATACAAGAAGAGAAGAGGGGAGAGGATAAACAATACTTCTCCACTAGACTCTAATTACTATAGCTATAGTATTTACTGTAATCTATAGTAAATATTATGGAGAGTGACGATTAAATTTAATGATCTCAACACTTCTCCTCGCTCATCATAATATTTATATAATATAAAATTTGTATAGAATTATGATCTATACTTTTTTGTGATCTTGCAAGATCAACAATTGTTGCCTCATTAAAACCTTATCTAGGAAAACCTTATTGTATTTAAGGACAAAACCATAGATGAAGGAAAAAGAGTACAACATCATTTTCTTTAATTATTTAAAGAACTCATTAACTTTCTTATTCAAAAAAAGTAAGCTGCTGCATACCAATGTCATAAGTAAATCGACGATGGTTGCACAATGGGAGAACTTTGGTGAAGAGCTCAACAAGGTTATTTGTAGATTCAATTTTTTAAATTATAAGTGCTTGATTAGTAATCAAGTCATGGATATAACTAAAATACTTTGGATCAATATGATCATCCTATCGCCTTTAATGAAACCAACTTGCATCTATGCAATACAAGTACTATTATCTTCATGCAAGATAGTTGGAGAATCATCATATGAAAATCCACAGGTTATTTGAATGAATTTATCAATTGATTGCAACCAAATACATTCTCAAGATGCTTCATGTAAGGCAATAATTTTTGCATGGTTGGATGAAGTTGCAGTTATTATTTATTTCACTTATTTCCATGATATTGCAGCTTCATGTCTTAAAAATACATATTCTGTTTGAGTTTTAGCTGTTGCAGTATCAAATTTATATCTTGCATCACAATATCCAACCAATTTTGGATCTACGCATTGTGTATAGTATAATCCTAACTCTTCAGTATCTTTTAAATAACGTAATAAATATTTGATTCTATTTTAATGTTGTAGTATTGGACGTGCACTATATCTTGCAAGAACACTAACTGCAAATGCAATATCTAGTCTTGTAGATGTAGCTAAATACAAAAGTGCTCCAACCATTGCAAGATATGGATATTGATCTCCCAATATTTCCTCCTCCTCCTTGCATGGACAGTATGGATCATAACTATCACAACCACATCCAACCATTGGTGTGGACAATGGATAAGCATCAATCATATTAAATCTTTGCAAGATTCATCTAATATATGTTAATTGGTAGAGAAAAATGCTACCATCTGTTATATGCATAATTTGAAGACCAATGCAGAAAGTTATTTTTTCTAGCATTTTCATCTCAAATTCACGTATAAGTAGATTAATAGCTATAATACATGCAGATGTAGTGTCCACTAGGTTAAGATCATCAACATATACAACGATGATCACAAAATCAGTTTTATCTTGTTTGATAAACAAAAAAGAGATTAGTGGATCACTTATAAAATTATTTGTAATTAAATAATCTCGAAGACGTTGATATCACATGCGTTCAGATTGTTTTAAACCATACAAGGCCTTACATAATCTAATACTACAATATTATCCTCAAGCAAGTCCATTTGGAGTTCCTGTTTCTAAGCCAGATGGAACTTTTAAATGAATATTTGCATCAAGAGAACCATATAGATATGCAGTTACTACATCCATCAGATGCATCTCAAAGATGGCATGAACTGTCATTCCAATAATATATCAAAATGTAATTGAATCCATGACTAGAGAATATGTAGATTCATAATCAATGCCAAATTGTTGAGTAAATCTTTGAGCAACAAGACGAGCTTTATAGCGGATTATTTGACCTTAAACATCTTTCTTGTGTATTAATATCATCTTATATTCTACAAGGCGAGATGTAAGAGTGTCTACAATTGGACCAAAGACTTTCTTCTTATGCAAAGAGACACACTCTTTATCAATAGCAGTTTTCCATTTTGACCAATCAGAGTGACGCATCGCCTCCTCAATGGTTTCAGGTTCAAGATCGTCTTCCTTGCAAGAAAGGGCTTCTATAATCATATATGAAAATGATTCATCTATCGTAATAGATGGTCTGTCCCAAATAACATCTGTAACACAATACAGAATAGATAATTTTTTACTCAACTTGTTCTTATTCCTTCCAATTCCAAGATTGTTTTTCATAGGAATTGAAGGTATATTATGCATGGATATATCATCATGAATTGGTAGTCTCACATGATTAGTGGCAGTTTCTTGAAAAATAATACCAGGATTAATCAATTTTATAGCTTTTTTCTTATGTGGTTGCTTATCTGGTCCATGAGTTCTTTTAGTTGTTGTTATTATAACTTGAGGTATTGTAGTCAATGGCACTGCAATCTGAGCAGGTGCATTCTAAGCCTCATTAATAGGAGCTCTTGTAATTTTAGGTGCATCATTGAAGCCATCAGGTGTTTCATCTGCGATCTATTTTAGATGCAAAATCTTAGCAACTTCAATTTCTATCAAAGATGTCCTAAGTTCGGGATTCATTGTAAATATTTTTGGTGCTTCAAATATGAGTACTTTATTTCTTTGTTGATTGGATACTCCTCCTTGAAGAGATGAAAATACATTTTCTTCAAAATGACAATTTTACAAACATGCATGTAATAATGGGCCAGTTGATGGATCAACAATACGAATAATGCTTGGTGAATCATAACCAACATATATGCCTTTTTGTTAATGAGCTCTAATGGTACGTCGTTGAGGTTCTAGTACTGGAATCCAAGCACTGCAACCAAATATTCGTAAGTGAGATACTATTGGAACACAATCCGAAATGAGCTCATATGGTGAAACAATTTCAAGAGAAGAAGGGTCGAGACATATTAATGCTGCAGCATGTTAAACTGCATGAT